GTGGACAGTGGCAGGGATGGCAGAGTATGGAGCTTCTAGTGGGAGAGGAAGGCTGTCTATCTGACGAGTTTGTATTCATGCTCAGATGCCGAGGAGCTCAGAAGGTGGGCGACTGTGACCAGTGATAGTCATGTATATAGAGATTAGAAATGTATGTGAAAATGTCTCAATGTCAATTGCCTTGGAATGAATTTTTCTGTATGAAACTGTGTGTTTTGACAACGAAGTGGAGATCTTTTTTAAACGTTAAAACCTCATTTAATTTTATGTCTTATGGAGTTTATAATGAGCAAAAGATTGTACAAGCATAATAATTCATCTGTAACCTAAAAATGTACAGCCAATTTTGAAAGAGATGTACCCTAGCTCAGAAAAATGTTATTGAATAGGTTAATGCTGTTGTAATGAAATGCTTCTTCTAATTAAAAATAAATAAATAAATTAATTAACTTAAAAAAATGTGCTGTGCTAAGTGGGAGGCTTACTGGGATTGGGTGCCCATTAAGGGGACTAGCAATTATTGAGAAGCAAACTTGATCCAGTTGAATGTGGTGATTGTGTTATGGCAGTATTAATCACACTTTGAATGTCAGTACTTTTAGTGTCAATATCTATACCGTGTTTTATACAGTTATTAGAAGTATAGCTTTCTTTAGGAAATAGTCTGGATTCAGCAAACTTAGTAGGGCTATAAACTGAGAAAGCAAAGAGATAAGCTTTCAGTAGATTATTTAAAAATGCCTTTTACTTTGCAGTTAGTAAAATTGAAAAGAAGAGAAGGTCTTTTTGTATTTTTAGTTTTGGGGGAGAAGTGAATTTACATGTGGAAGGAAAGGCAAGAAGTCTTTACATATGAATATGTATTTAAGTGTAGGCTTCTTGAAAAAAAAAAAAAAAAGAGCTGAAGAAATGATGTGATAGAATGGTCAGGGTGAGGAATTTCCCAAGAGATTGAGGTACACAAAAAAGCTTCACCTCTGAATATTTTCTCAGTTGTACATGAGGTATATTGTTATTTGAAAGTGTACTTCAGTTTAACTTAATTGTTTCAAATATGGTAGGGTTTTATTTTCACTCAAATTTGCTGCTTTTTTCTTTTTCTCCACAATCAAGGCTAAAGGGTAAACAAAGTCATGCTGTCAGCCTGTCATCTGCTGGTGTCAGTGCTGGTTAAAATCAATACTATGAAGTAATACTCTGTAACACTAAATGCATATGCTACTGTGTTGTTTTGAGCTGGAATATAACTATTTACACCCGAATATTCTCTTTTATAAAAAATAAATCATGCTATTTTAGTGACTGCACATATTTGATGTTTGAGTTAATATTTTCTAAAAGCCGTATTTGAGACTTCTGTTGAATTTTTACTTCTGACTATACTGATATATCAAAGGCAACTGGAAGTTATGCCAGTGTTTTGAAGAATGCTTATAGTGTAAAAACCTTCCTTTGATATTGAAGAATTACCTTTTCAATAGTTTCAATGGTAGAGCTATCACAAGTTTTTAAGATGTCTGTTTTTACCTTTTACTCTTGAGGAAAGAAGCTTGAATTTCAAGGGAAGCTTTTATTCTACATATAAGGAATTTTAGAGTTAGTATACCTAGTGTCTTCTGGCAATATTCTCTATTGATATTTAATACTGTTTTGTATTCTGGGGAAAGGGTCAAATTCTTTGCAGTATAATTACCAAAAATTCTAGATTTTTTTTTCATCAATTGGATCTCCTGTGCGTATTAGCTAACAAATTTTCAAATGAATGCCTCCTACTTCTCACTTGTTGAAATAAAATTGTATTGAGATCTTTGTTGTAAAAACTATTAATGAGAATTCGGAGACTGAAGATGTGGTTCACTGATTAAAAGCACTTGCTGCACAAGCATGGAGACCTGAATTGAATTCCCAGTACCTACATAAAAAGCCACATGTGGCCACCTGTCCCTGTAATCCCAGTACTGTGGGGGGTAGAGACAGAAGGATTGCTGGAGCTTGCTGGCTGCCAGCCAAGCTCCAGGTTCATTGAGAGACCCTGTCTCAAGGGAGTAAGGTGGAGAGTATAGAGCAGGACACCTGACACCCTCTTATGGCTTTCTGCACACAGGTACACATACAACATCCCATACCCTAACCCCCCCCGCCTGCCCCACACACAAGAAAATTGGACTAGATTACAGTGTAAAGTGTTGGTTATCATAGTTGTACTTAAGAGGTGAAAGAGAAAGAAACTGAACTTTTTGTGTCTTGCAACACACTTTTAAGGGTTTTTGCCCAGTATGAAATGTAATAACATTTTTTTATATCATGAAATACCATGACTATTAAATTCTTTTGAACTTTTTAAAAACAGGACAAAAACAGTATATGCCCACCAGAGCAAGATGTACTACAGTTGAGTAATCAAAATATGGATCAAAAGATAAGAGGGATTTAGGTAGGTAATTATAACACAGGAACTAGCACCACGTTATTGACTTGAGTTTTAGAGAATTTGGTATGATACATTGGCATGCGTTTTAAGTAGTAGACCCTTCAAAAATTTGAGTCATTGTAGCTGCTGCTAAGATAGCTTGAAATTGCATTCAAAATGAGAAAAACCTTAAATTCCATCCTGTTTATGCTTAGGCTGCTTGGCCGGAGTGACTTTAAAGCACAGATGATAATTGGTACAAGGCTTCCAGTTTTACCTCTACTGTGGGCAAATCATTTACCTTAAAGATTTTATTAATGGAACTCTTTTCCATTCCTCACATTTTTTGAACAAGTAACTTTAGGTAGAAAAAAAGCAGTGCAGTGAAAGCTAACATCTTTGTCCATTGAAATTTTTGTTACATGAAACTATTCTGGTCATTTACAAACAGTTAAGGTTGAAAATAAGATGCCAAATCATGTGAAAGCTATTTATGATTGATTAGATGCAGTTAGGTGCTTCAAGCTGATTCAGTGTGTTCTAATAGATGTGGGCTATGGAATGTCCAACATAACTTCATAAATTTCTTTTCTTTTGTTCAAAAGGAACCTATGTTTCCCAGGCTGCTGTTGGACTCC